CGGTGGCGCGGGGAAGCGGTCTTGCCCGAGGGTGCACTGCGGCGCAGCGCGGCGCCGCATCACGATGCCCCGGGGGGTTGTGTTGCGCGACGGCAGGCTGCGCTGGCCGACGCCACCTCCAGACGAACGCCCGCCTGGAGGAGAGCCAGACGAGGAAGCGGGCGCAGCCTCGGGGCATTGATGGTGGGCTTGTTTTCCACCGCCATCACCATACGTAGGAGGGGGAGGGGCTCCTCCTCCTCCTCCTCCTCCTCCTCCTCCTCCTCCTCCTCCTCCTCCTCCCCCCTCCAACTTATGGTGGTGGTGGTGGAAAACAGGCCCACCGATTGAGTTCTCGAGATCTGCGTGGGGGGGGGGGTCGGCAGGGCTGGGGCGGGCTCGGAGGCTGCGCCGAGGGGTGTCTCCGGGCCCGTCGGCAGTGAGATCGGCGGCTCCGCCCCTGCCCCGTGTGTGGGCCGACGGCCAGGGGATTCGGGAGCCCATCCACCTGCAGGTGTGGCGACCCAGGCTGCATGCGCTCTCGCGTTGACGTATTGCACTGGATGCGCTGGGCGTCGCCCAGCAGGAGGGCAAGGAAGAAGATGGCGGATTTGAGCAGGCAATGCTGGGGAAGCCAAAAGGCACCGGTACCGCTACTGCCCGGACCTCTCCCGGGGTGCGTTCTGACCACAAGTTCGAGTCGAATCCAGCGGTGGCGACGTGGGCCTCCCAGGAGGCCCAAACAGGGAAGAAGGGAAAGAAGACGAGGGACAGGTAGGGGCACGGGTGCCTTCTCAGGCACGAGGGATGCACGGGGAGGAAGCCGGCGTCATCAGCAGCGGCAGGCGCCTCGGCATCAGCGAGTGAGCGCCGCGCTCTTGGAGACAACAACAAAAATCGACTGCGAGCCCCCTGGAGGACGCGCGGAAGCCGGCGTCATCAGCAGCGGCAGGCGCCTCGGCATCAGCGAGTGCGCGCCGCGCGCTGGGAGACAACAAACAAATCGACTGCGAGCCCCCTGGAGGGCGCGCGGACCTCGGCCACGGCGTGTGCGTACCGAGCTCCGCTGCACGTTTCGTTGGCTTTAACTGCAGCTCCTCCTTCACACCACCCTTAGCTTCATTGACAGTGCGCACGGTTTGTACGCTGAGCCTTCGACAATGGCCGATCGCAATTGGCACTTCCATCTGCTGCTCGCGCCTCAGGACCCCCTGCACCGCTGACTTGAACAAGTGGACCGAGATGCGACGTGAGAGGAGATGGCGTTCGCCATCCGCACCTGCGCCGACGAGCTTCACCAGCTCCTTTGCTACAGGCAATCGCGCGGAACAAAAATCTTTCGGCATTTCTCTCTCTTTCTCTCTCTGCTTGTGCTCAGAATGCCTTGGAGGGAGCAGCTGGAGGGCGTGTTTCGTTGGGAACGCGGGCCCGGTTTGGTGCGCACGCGACTTTCTTTGGCTGTTCGGCGGCACTCGACGATCGTGAAGATATCCGAGTTGCGCCGATAGTTTTGCGACGTCGGGGCGCTCGCGAGCCCCATGGAGGCGCACATCTTCGAGCGCAGCACGGTCGGGGACTGCTGAGCTCCTCGAAAGAAGACCAGGCCTCCCGCTGACCAGGCCTCCCGTTGACTTCCCCTTTCCCGCCTCCTCCACCTCCGCCTCCTCCCCCTCGTCCTCCTCCTCCTCCTCCTCCTCCTCCTCCTCCTCCTCCTCCTCCTCCTCCTCCCCCTCCACCTCCTCCTCCTCCTCCTCCTCATGCGGAAAACTAGTTTTATTTTTTTTCTCATTTTTTTTTGACTGGTTTCTTATCTTTTTTTTATTTTGTTGTTTTATTGTTTTGATCTGTTTTTTTGTTTGTTATTTGTTGTTTTTTTTCTTTCTTTTTTATATTCCTCCTCTCCTCCTCTCCTCCTGCCTTCTACTACGCTACTACTACTACTTACTACTGCGACTGCCTCCTGGCTACTGCTACTGCTACTGCTACTGCTACTGCCTACTGCTACTGCTACTGCTCCTGCTACTGCTACTGCTACTGCTACTGCTTACTGACTACTGCTACTGCTACTGCTACGACCGGACTACTACTAACTCTACTACTACTACTACTACTACTACTTCTACTACTACTACTACTACTACTACTACTACTACTACTACTACTACTACTACTACTAATACTAATACTACGGCTACTACTACTACTACTACTACTACTACTACTACTGCTGCTACTACTACTATTTCTACTACTCCTACTACTACTACTACGACTACTACTACGACTAGTACCAATACTGCTGCCTCTGCTACGACTACTACTACTACTACTACTACTACTACTACTACTACTACTACTACTACTACTATCATTGCTACTACTACTGCTGCTGCTACTGCTACTGCTACTGCTACTACTACTACTAATACTACTACTACTACTACTACTAATACTTATTCTACTACTTCTACTACTGCTACTGCTTCCACTACTTTTTCTACTACTACTACTACTACTACTA